CAGCTCCAGGTCTTGTTTTTGCTCACTGTATAGAGCTTCTCCATCTTTGGCTGCAGAGAACATAATCTGATTTCAGTATTGCCCATCTGGTGATGTCCATGTGTAGAGTCACCTCTTTTGTTGTTGGGAAAGAGTGTTTGTGTTGATCAACTTGTTCTCTTGACAAAACTCTATTAGTCTTTGCCCTGCTTCATTTTGAACTCCAAGGCCAAACTTACCTGTTGTTCCTTTTATCTCTTGACTCCTGGCTTTAGCATTCCAGTCCCCATAATGACAAGAACATCTTTCTTTCGTGTCAGTTCTAGAAGGTGTTGTAAGTCTTCATAGAATTGGTCAATTTCATCCTCTTCAGCAATGGTGGTTGGTGCATACTCTTGTATTACTGTGAGGTTGAAAGGTCTGCCTTGGATTCATATTGAAATCATTCTATTGTTTCTGAAATTGTATCCCAGTACAGCTTTTCCCACTCTTTTGTTGACTATGAGGACTACTCCATTTCTTCTACAGGAGTCTTGCCCACAGTAGTAGATATGGTAATTGTCTGAATTGAATTCGCCCATTCCCACCCATTTTAGTCCACTGATGCCCAGGATGTCAATGTTTCTTCTTGCCATCTCCTATTTGACCACATCCAGTTTACCAAGGTTCATAGATCTTACATTCCAGGTTCCTATGTAGTATTTTTCTTTGCAGCATCGGACTTTCCTTTCACTTCCACGCACGTCTGCAGCTGAGCATCCTTTTGGCTTTGGCCTAACCACTTCATTAGCTCTGGAGCTACTTGTACTTGTCCTCTGCTCTTCCTCAGTAGCATGTTGGATGCCTTCCGACCAGCGTCATATCTTTTAGCCTTTTGTTTCTATCCATGGAGTTTTCTTGGCAAAGCTATGGAGTGGCTTGCCAGTTCCTGCTCCAGGTGGATCATTATTAGTCAGAACTCTCAACTATGATGTGTCCATCTTAGGTGTCCCTGCATGGCATAGCTCATAGTTTCTCTGAATTACTCAAGTCCCTTTGCCACAACAAGGCAGGAATTCATGAAGGAGTCATGGATGTCCACTATGTCCACCGATCCAGACAATATAGCTATATAAAGTCAAAAGAGAAAGGTACGTATATATTCTTGCTAGGAAGAGGAATGTATTCTGTCAAGCTTGGTTTGATAATGGAACAAATGGAGATGAATTTAAATTCTGTAAAACGTTCACTGAAGCTCTGCAACAAGACCTTCTCCTGTACCTTAGAAACTAATATATATACAATAAATAACATATGTGCCCCTAAGAAACATCTTAAAATTGACAAAATATAATTTGATTTCATGTTGATCTGTATGTGTACGTATTATCTGTGACTTGTCTTTTGAAAACATTTAAAAAGAGCAAAAAACAAACCAACCCCCCCACCACCACCACCACCAAGGTAAAATCAAATTGAGTGTTCTAACTACAGTAGATCCACTGAATGATGGGTCTTGTCAATTTATTCCATTTATGGAATTTATTCAATTCCATTTATTTAATTCCAATAACTTCCAATTCAAGTTATTTCCATTTATTAAATAGGTCCATTCCTATTGGGGACTAATAAATAGATTAAATCCTATATATTTTCTTTTAATATGGACTTGATTTGACACACTTGGGAGCTCCTGTTTAGATATCTCCTACTTCTCTCTTCTGCAAAAATCTATGTACTTTTTCTCTACAAGACTATGAAGGTGTGGGTCAGTTTGAGAAAAATGGGTAAAAAAGGAATCCTAAAATGCAGAACATAAATCCAAAGCTATCTTTGAGATGGATCCACCAACAGAAGGGAGAGAGAAAGGACTGTTTCCGTCCTTTGAGTTTAAAATGATACGATTGTGTAATAGTTGTTACCTCCATGTGAAGCCTGCACATCCAAGATGGAGCCAAGGCTAAACAATGGCCATCCTCTGTACTGGTTTTTAACTGTCATAGGTTGTTAAACTACAGCTTCCAGATACCTTATTATTTATCGAATCTGACAGCGGTATTATGAGTTAAAAGTCCAACAACACCTGAAAGACCCCACAGTTGAGAAGCTTTAGAACACTGGTTCTTAACCTTGGGCTACTCAGGAGTTTTGGACTGCAACTCCCAGAAGCCTTCACCACCAACTGTGCTGGCTGGGGTTTCTGGGACTTGCAGTTAAAAAACATCTGAGTAACAAAGGTTAAGAACCACTGCTTTAGAATATTCTCTTGACTGTTCATTCTTCTTCTGAATTCCAAACAGGATGCCCCAGCTGGATGTACCAGCAGGTGGAGTGAGGCAGCTGGCCAAGGCAGGAAATTCAGGGTGTCCAATCAATATTTAATTTAATTTTAGATGTCTTTGTGAGATCATGTGTTCCTGGTACCAAAGCAATCTGACTGGCATCAGGTTCAGTCTGACTCTGAGATGGGGGAAAGGCAATGGCAGCTACTCTAAAGTATGTCCACCCATCCAGACAATTTTTGACAACGTCTTTACCAGGTCCATAAGGTGAGAAGCCCACCTCTGCTCCTCTCCTGATTAAATCCCAGCCTCACACTCCGTGTAACTGTATATGAATGAAAGAGGGAGAGGACAGAAGACGAAAAGGACACCAGGTACGCTGGGCATCTTTTAAAACCAACTGAAAACTTGGATGCTTGTGCAGGCCTTTCCTCCAGCTAATGCTTGGTTTTTTTCCCCTTTTTTAAATATTTTCTTTTTCCCTTCTTTCATCTTGATTAACTTCTTTATTGATGTTTAAACTTTGTTATATTTTATATATGGTTATTTATGTTGGTAGCAGAGTGGTCGTTTGACCAGATAGGCAGGATATAAATACAATAAATAAAATAAATAAATAAGTTCTGTATGTCACCCACCCTTGGTTGCTCGGCTTCTACCCCACCAAACGGGAACCAAACAACACCAATTGTGCACCATTTGCTGCTCTTCTTCAGGCAACAGAATGCTGAAGTGCACTTGCTTTGGTCTGGTGGTCTTTTTATTAATGTTGTCTTGCTTATGGCTGACCTGGCATCATTTCAGGTGCACCCGCCAACCATTTTCATTCCCTGAGCAGCCTTTCTTTAGAAGCTGCTCTTCAGAAGCTCTTTCTGATGCCCGTTTCACTACATGGTCCTGTTCTTTAGGGCAGGTGAGTCGCTGCCCATCCTCTTCCTCAATACTGGGCAGGGGTAGCAAGCGCACCTAGACAGGGAGTGGAGTGGTGGGTAGCTAACTATATGGAGCTGCTTCTGACTCCCTGGTGACGCTTCCCCTTCTGCCCCACAAGCTGCAGCGGCTACTGCGCCCTTCTGGTAGCCCAGCTGCACTCGGGGGGGGGGGACCTGCGCCTGGAACTCAGAACAACTGAAGAGGGGAGGAGGAAGTAACGACTTCTTCCGAACAACCACGTAACGCACTTTTTTGGAACGACGTTGTCCAATTGTAAAGCTGAATTTGCGCGCACACAAAAGCCGTCGTCCCCACCACTCCCAGGAATCTCTCTCTGTGTTCCTGTGCCCTTGCGTCGAGGCACGGACTGTACTCTTCTGTGCACGTGTTATGTACGAGCACGCGTGCGTGCGTGCACACGCAACTCTGAGGGAAAATGTGAAAAGCGCATGATTTGGCACCAGTGGTAACAAGACCCTCGGTTTTTTCAAAGGCTTCTGAGACCAGTTCAACAAAACGTCAGCGACATTCGCCTCCTCAGACGGAATAAATAAAGGGCGAAAAGAGACGGAGAGCACGGCACGTCCAAAGCCGCCTTGGAATGATCTTCTGCCCGCTTCTATGCCCACATGATCTGAAAGAGCCCGGCCATTCCCTCATGCCATGCGTAGCCCGAGTAAGGAAGGGACAGCCTTTTGCCAGGTTTCTCCTCCGGCTGTGCCTCAGGAAGTGCGAGCGAGGCCGAGCGCCCACCGCTTTCCCTGACCGAAGTGCGGCAACCTGCTGCCGCCTCCTCCTCAGTGACTCGCTCTTACGATTTCTCAGGGTTTTTTTTTCTCTTCTCGGTGGCAGCAGGGGGATGAAACTGGCCGGCTTCCCCCGGTTTCCCGCGTTGTTGTAGCGACCCTACCACTCCTCCCTCTCGCTTCGCATCTTCCTCAGTATTTGCCGGCACCTCCCTCCTTCCATGCTTGTGGCGGCGGCGGCGGCGGCAGCAGCAGCTCTTTCCTCACGCGCTCATCCCCGAAGCTCGCCTTCTCCGTCCAGCGAGATTTAGTCTTCTCTTTTCCCTCGTCGGGTGAAGAAGAAGCGCCTTTTCCGGCGCCCCGAAGGCTGTGGAGGAGAAGCCTCTCCGGGCGCGCTTGGCCCTGTTGGCGGGGCGCGTGCCTCCCGACACCCACAGCCCCTTCTTTCCTCCCGCTATATAAGCCCCAAAGTTTTTTTTCCCCTCCTTCGCCCCCAATCTTCTCCCTCCTCCTGTCGCTGCTGCTCTCCCTCCTCCCCTATCCGACTCATATTTCTGGGCAGCCAATAGTGGGCTGGCCAAGCAGGCAGGAGCAGCGAAAGAAGAAGCGAGCCGGCGGCAGGCAAAAGCAGCGCCACCACCTTCTTGTTGGCGTCCCTTGAAACCCGCCACCCTCCGCGTCCCCTCATGGCCCCCGTCGTCCCCCTCTGGCGGCGGTAGAGACTCCGAAGAGGAGCAGGAGGGGCGACATCAATCAATCAATCAATCAATCATAAAAGCGTCCCTTCAGCCCAGGTGGTGCCAAGCGGGGCGGGCTGGCAGAGGAAACGCCACGACGGAAAGCGTCGCCAGCGTCGCGGAGGCTCTTCTGGGGGGTGGCTGAGGAGGGCGAAGTCCCCTGTGGAGCGCGGGAGGCGACCGGCCACTCGGGCTCGGAGGGAATAACCAGCCGCTGCTGTGGTGGAGGTGGCGCAGGCTCCGCGAAGGCGGCTCCAGTTGGAGAGGTAAGCCGAAAAGAATATATATAGCCTTTCTTCTCGACTGCCCCGCTCGCTTGAAGGGCTTTCCTGACGGCTCGTCCTCTTCGCTCGTCGTCGTGTTGCTGTGGAGCGTTTTGGTGCCGCCGCCTCGAAGTTGCTGTGTGTGTGGGTGCTTCGGAGGGGGTCTAAGTTGTGGGGTTGTGGGTTCCCCCCCTCTTAACCCCTACCCTATCCCTTTTGCTGCTGTCAAAATGCCAATTAGGATCCTGTGCTACCAAGTCGACTGTGGCACAGAGCTGAAGAAGCTGAGGGAAGGATCTGAAGGTCATCCAGTCCATCCCCCGAGCCGATCCTATGCAAGCGGAAATCACCCTGGCCTTGGCGGTTCTTGTCTGGGAAGAACCATAGTCGTGTTGCCCCATCGGCATTTCTAGGGCGCTGGGATGACTTGCTGTGCGCGATGCTGGAGCTGTCTGTAGGAGGAAAAGGGTAGGGCAACCAAGCGAAATGCCGCCTAGATCGTTCTTGAAATGATTATCTCGTGCTGTCGGTTGATTTCCCATCCCTTTTGTAGAAGCACAGCGTGGGTCATTTTGGAACAAGGTGTGACGTTTGCTGTGAATCCAGCCCATATCTCTAGAACAGTGCTGTATCCAGTCCATGCAGAGGAGAGAGAAAAAAAAAACCATAGATGTGATTTAAAAAGTAAAGCCACAACAACACGCTGGTTTTGTTCTTACTTTTGGAGGTGGGTCACCCTGTTTGTCCATCTTTTAATCCTCCCTAAAGTTACTTAAAATGCTTACCTGAGGGGGAGTGCAAGTGTTTTGCAGGTAAGTTAAAGAGCTACAGGGACATCTAGGAAGGTATAACTTGTTCTTACTATTTTAGGGGTTGTTGGCTGGGTGTTAAGGGAGAGGATGCAGTCCTTGTAGGGTTAATCCTGACCCTATAGCCAAGGACTCATCATTGCTTCTATAACAGAAATGACAGATAACTTTGGCCTCCTTGATGCTTATTTCCAAAACAAAAGTTATGCTGTGCTGCTATACTTGGGTTTTTGGTAATCAGATAAATGGACCAGTTCGTATTCTCTTCTTGTAATACTTGCCGCGGCAGAGAGGGCTGCTGTTACATTTCATTTCCTATCTCATTTGTGAGTGTAGAATAATGCCGGCTGTGTTATCTGCTGCCTCACATGTGTCTTCTCTCTCAGATCTTTGGGAATCCTAAAAGCAGAGAGAGAAGCAGAAGAAGGGGAGCGTTCTTCCCACCTTCTGCCTTCCAGCGCTCATCTAGTTCCAGCCATTGTGTTGGGGAACCTCTCCTTCTGCTGGACTATTGTAAGCACAAGTGCTTACCTCTTTCTTGGGGCTGGAGGCAGCATGTAACTGTTCTGAAACTATAACACCATCAGCAGCCTGTTCACTCCTGGCAGATGATCCAGCACTCACTGAAATATTTGCACAGTTTGCACTGTTTACTTTTTCCACTTGAATTATGGAGGCTTGGGCACCGTAGTTGATGTTGCTGACTGATGAAACACATCAATAAAGCTTTTCAGTGAGCAGCAGTGCTTTCCTAAGGAGTGGTTAAAATCAAACTAGATTTAAGGAGCAAAGTCTCAGCAGATCCGATGGTGCTGGAATATGGCATAAGCAGATTTGCTCTGAAATAAAAGAAGACTCCTTAGATGGGTCAGGAATTTAATGAGAGCTTTCATGTTAGTTGAAGCAAAAGGTTACAAATCAAGGCAGCCTAGTCTCATATGTACATCCCAAGGGATTCGATGCAACATTAATGAAAGTGTGCATACACTTGCTATTTACTGTCCTAATAAGTGGTGAACGTTGTTCAGTTTAGTAACACTCCTTTTGCACTCCTCTACTAGGAAGCTCAGGAGGAATTTTAGTTCATGAGTACAAAGTGCTGGTTTGATGTACAAAAATGAGAAAGAATGTTACTAACTAAATTCAAATAGAAGTTGATTCATTTACAGTGCCATTTAATAATGGGAAGTGTAAGGGAAAAATCACTTCCAATAGTGGAGATATGTGTTTCCCACTCATCTAGCCAAAGATGTTGCAAAAATCTGATTTTTCCTTCTGCATTATAATATTTGCTTGGAAGGCGCATGTTATGTTGGATAAAAGTGTTGACAAAAATGTACCCATTCCAATGAATGAGTAATGCATCATTTCAGCTCAAGTGTAAATCTGTAGCACACTTTTGAGTTTCTAAAAATGTAGTCACACTTTTTATTGGTTATTCAAGCAACTGTTCTTGAAATTGACAATGCATTTCTAAACATCTCTACCCAGAAGTACATCTAAGTTCAGTGAGACTTAGTGCCAGGTAAGTGAGTATAGAATTGAAGTCTTGGTTAACTAATACACTTGTGTAAATGGTAATTTAAGAGGAAAATGATCCAGCTATCATTCTGTCACAATCGCATAGTGCGGTCTAATAACTGGCAATCACTTCAGTGAGAGAGAGTTCATTGATAAAAGCAGGGTAAAATATGTGGACTGACTGGTATCATGAAATTGTAGCAGTACGTGGCTGGTGTTCATATTGTTGGAGCTTGTAATAATGCATGTTGAATGTGGTATGTTACTTTCTTTTATTTATGGATGAAATACGTTTAAAAGAAACCTGTAATGAAATGTTCTTCACAGTAAGGGATGTCCAGAATAGAGTGAAATATAAAAATGTGGCAGGAGTTGGGCTAAGAGGCTATGCTATATAACACAAACATAGAAATGCAGTGTATTTGTTAGCCGATTATTATCACTTGTATATCCGTTTGTGTTGGAAACCCCACTTATGCCACCCTCTGGAAGGCATGGTGACTAACTCAAGAGTTTATTTGAATAAAATACATATCCTTTGCAAGTACTTAAAATACTAAAATGGCATGTTGTCTGAAGTTCCTGTAAGCGTGAAATTTTACACAGCATAAATTATACCCTTTCCTCTTTTTTTCTGCAAAAGGTGATGTCAGTATAGCTTTCTCTAACATTTTACTCTAATTACAAGAGGAATCTCTTTCTTAATAACAATATTCAGGTGGGTTCTGGCCAGCAATTCATGGATAGCATTACTGGAAAGCAAGAACACCAATGACAGCTTGAGTAATGTACTTGCTTGTACTGTAGTTCCCAGAATCCCCTAGCTATCATGACTCCAGACTAGGGGGATTTGAAGGTTTGTGGTTCAAACAAGTAGCTTTTCCAGCCTCTTCAACAAATAACTTACAGTGAGACTTATGTATATGCTTGCAATGATAGTACAAACAGTATCTGAAGTAAGCTCATGCAAGGCATTTACTTTCTTTATTGGAAATGACTCCTAGGAAGTGGATATTGTCGTAGCTATTTCCTAACATTGAAAACTTCTGAAGGAAAAGAAATTGAGTTGAAACATTTGAGGCATTATTGAATTCTGTAACTTGAGGGGGTATATCACAGCAGCAACACGCTGGACTGCCTGGTGCTCTATTATACTTGTGGATAATGCGGTTGTTGTCCTATTTTGCTAGCTGTGTACTTCAAAAAATTTGCTGATGTCTGATGGTGTAGAATGGATGGCTGTCTGTAGACAGAAAGGGGGTGCATGGAAGTACTGGTGCCAAATGTTTGCAACAATGTTGGGTGTACCACTAAATCTATTGGGTGTCTGTGTGACAGTCTAGCATCTATTCTGTCTCTTTCCATTCTATAACTCTGACTCAACATTGGGTTGCATTACTCATCTTTCTAAATTGTTCAGTTTTCAGGATCCAAGTGGTAAGAGAGATAACAATGTCTTGACTATATTCCAGTGGAGATTGATACATGCTCTCTAGCTGTGTCCAAGGGAGTTGAGCCAACAGTATTAAAAGGTGATTAGAGTGGCGTATCCATGCTTTTCATTCTTTGCTCCAATGCCTACTTGTGCTTATAGTTAGTATGTGTGGTTCTTGTGGAAGTAACTGTCACTCCATGCTAAGATAGTTGAGGTAAGAAAGGTACGCCACCCCAGATGCTGTTGAATGCCGCATTAGCCTTGGCCCCCATAGTTAGGTAACCATGCCAAAACTTACTAAATCAAAACTTAGATAGTGGAAGTTAAAGCATATGTAGATGGTGGGATGAGAAAACATGTGAGCATCTTTGGTTTTCCACTGTCTCTTTCTCTGCCACATGGAGATGTGACAGAGCAATAGCGGAATGAGAAAACACTGGTCTATGAGGGTCAAGCATGTATCCCAGTGCAGCTGTTTGGGGGTGGGCTGAATTATTTCCTCTGACATCTGCTGCCTGTGGCCTAGCAATTCAGTAGAAGAGCAGCAGCTGGAATTTTTTGGGGGGGGAGGGATAGATCTTGGAAGAGCAACTTTTTTTTCATATTTCATCTCCCAGTTCCTTTTAGCTGTCATGGTCATATTTCCAGATTCTGCTTTATATTTCTGCTTTATTGAATTTAACCTACGGAGGAAGTTGAGGACATAGGTTGGTAGGGCAGGGCTATAAATATTCCCAATAAATAAATCATTCTTGATCCCTGAATTCATTTGTATCCTGTTTAGGAATCTTGATAAGCATGCATAACTGCTTACTATTCAAAGAGCAGTAATCAGAACTCGCTGTTCAGAATATCAGCTGCTTGAAAGCCAATTAAAAAGATGTCTCAAAGGATACATAGCTTGCTGGCATTGTAGTTTTATGTATGATATACTTACTAATATAAAACTCTTAGGGGAAGAAGCTTGGTGTGGTTAAAATACCATAACTACAACATGACTGAGTTTCAAGAAAATTCTTCCTTGTATTTCAAATATGACTAGGAGAAGAATATTCTAATTATAAATGTAAGTAGTTCAATTTCACTGTAGTGTTCATAGTGCTGCATTGATGTAGTGAGTGGTGCATTCCCTATGAAATACATACTTATTGGTGCACAAAAACTAAAATTACGTTGAATGACAGAGACCCTGTGGTCACATTCCCATATAGCCTGCTGAGGTTCAGTATGGCTTCTTG